CCCCCCCCCCCCCCCCCGACCCTAGGTTGGGGTCCAGGTCAGCTCAGAAAAAATTATTTTAGCCGTTATAATTTATAAAAATCTTTTGGATTTTCGCAAATAGAGTTAAAATAAGAGTAAACTCTCTAAATTATCATTTATAACTGGGGGTGTTCATTTTTAGTCCATATTTATGAGATATTATATTCATAGTTCTTATTAATTAGGTAACATTTCATGTTTGATCCACTGTCTATTTTTTCGTTTCAATGCCTTTAGACAAGGACTAATATAAACTTGGAACGATATCCAACCAATAAAGACTGCGGACATAATATTTGATAAATATGAACTAAATATGGAAAATCTCCATTTATAAATGATTATTTAGAAAATTTACTCCTTTTACATCACTTTTAATATGGAAATTAATAAATATGAAAAATGTATAATTGTAGTTATTAATAAAAAGTAAAAAATTGTACACCATAAAAAATAGTTTACCGTAAATTTCATTTTTAGTATGAGAATAAGTTTGGAACAGTGGCGGATCCAGGAATTGAAGTAGATGAGGGCATCATTGATCGGTAGTCTAGAAGCGTCACTACATTTTTTGATAAACTATTTGAAATGACAAAAAATAATAAGTCTTATTTCAAATATTTATTAAATGTAAAATATTTTTTAATATGTAAAGTGAAATTTTATTTTATAAAAAATTAATTTTATACAATAAAATACTCTTTACTAAAAAAATTTAAATTTGACAAAATTAGATAAGATCACATTAATTTTTTGTTGGGGGCATATGTATATAAAATTTTAAAAAATAAGTTGGGGGCATTTGCCCCCTACTCTTCCTTAGTGGATCCGCCAATGGTTTGGAATGGATAGAAATTAAAAAGAAATTAGAAGTTATTATTCCATTTTATCCACAATAACTCATTGATATAAAAAAAAGAAAAAAAATACGTATTACAGAATATTATGTAAGAGGCGCAAATCTTCTTGGAGAGAGTTCATGTGCCTTGAATGCTTAAAGGGAGAAAGACCAAAGTAGGAGTAAAACATTGAAAACATTCCAAAATAGGACTTACATTACCAAACATGGTCATGCACATTATCAAAAAAGTATAGTAATGTGCACATGTTCAGTGCCACATTACCACCGTGCAAAGTCCCATTTCAGAGAAAAAAACATGAAAGTCCTATTTTGGTACTTTCCTATTTAGGGTGATTTCTAATGCTTAAAAGTATGCCACCTAACATAATACTCTGTAGTACGTATTCTTTTTTTTTTTTTCTATCCAAGCATTGTTTGTGGAACTCTCACAAAGAGGGCAAGGGGTTTTAATTTGCTCTTCAAAAGTTTCCCAATTCTGCGGCTAAGGTTGCAGTGTGGAACAAAAGTGCTTGAAGAATGATGGGTTTGATGTAGAAATGGTTTCCTAGATTTGATCATTAGAAGAATCCGGAGTCTTCTCAATATTGGTATTTATATTCAGGGTAGATGACACATCACTAGTCCCATCGTCTTGAGGGGCATCAATAGCCGAGGGGACTAGAGTGATTTTATCACTTGCAGCATTGCTCTCAACAGTGGATTTTTTAGGGACTTTTGATCCCAGGGCTTTGGTTCAACACGATGGAAATGGACCCTCAAGTGATGGAACTCATTAGTTGGGTAGAGTTCCTATCATGAGCATTTTTGCTCCTATTCGATCTCATCAAAGTAGTAAAACCCTGCAACCACAATTAGCTCTTTGGTGTGCATGGAGGGATGCAAAACAGGCTCACTAGCCTTTAATTTTTGGGAAGCGTCATTCCTACCTTTCCGGGCCTTGAGGGGGTTCTCCCTAGTTAGTTCCCTTAGGGGGAAATTAGTTGGCAACCCTAGATTCGTCTTCTTTGGGAAGACAATCAAGAAATACTTCTTGTCACATTTTTCTATATTCAGGAGGACATTCTTGAAGAGTGGTTGTTTGTAACTTGTAAAGAGGCTCATGCATGCACCTTCACCGATCGAGAGTGTACAAATATTCAAAGTTGATGCAGGTAGCAAGCTCCTCAAGTTGTTGGGCCTGTTTGGGAATAGCGTTAGCGATTAGCGTTAGCGTTTTGAAAAGGCTATCTACGGACATCGTTTAACGTTAGTGTTTTCAGAGTGATCTACACCGTTAAAATTTTATCCAAAACGCTAACTCTAATCTCTAACGCTGTTCCCAAACATGCCCGTTGGCATTGGAGGGTGTACACGCGTTGGCGGTTAGTTTCCAAGGAAGCATCCTCCAGTGGTTACAAAGTTCTATCAAGAGGGAGTGAATGGTTCTTTGAACCCGGCTTTCATAGATTTGTAGTGCATAATCATGCATATACCTATGGGGTATAGAGTTTTTCCCGAGAGAGAAGTTTTCTACATGACAAACCTCAACATCTTTTCCCAAAACCTTTTTGCATTTTGTCACGTTCATGCCTCTTAATAGTGGCGGGCTACGCGTTCCAATTTTGAAGGTCGAACTTTGACATCAACAGGATTCCGGTCTTCGATTGGTAAAGAGAGGAAAATCATTGGTTACGGATCAAGGGCGAAGATATGGAGCTGGAAGCATTTGAAGGTTCCTAACCAGAGGAAATTGAAAAAGAAGCATAAAGAAGGTTGGATGAGGTGCGACACGTAATGATGGATATGCGGCTATGTCACTAATGATTTCATGTGTGTGGATTTCAAAAAAGTATAAAGTTATAGTGTCAAGATAAAAAATATCTTAATGACATGTCACACAAGAAACTAGGGACTTATGATGGAGATAGGGCCTAGCTTTTATTGATCATATGGGCATGCAGTCTATATCCGGTATAAGTAAAGGAAGTCACACCGAAAGACCAAGATTACCCAAGTGGGCTAATCGCTAAATAAAGGACTTAGTCCCGTGGGAAGAATCTAGAACCAACGAGAATGTGTTAGATCTAACTAGGAATCCTAATATAATAGTAGTCTAGAGTTGGCAAATCGATCGGTCGAGTCGGTTCGAATCCGGTCATTTTAGGTACAATTCAGGTTACATCGGGCTCGAATAAGTTTGGGTTTGGGTTAAGACTCTCATGTTAATGACCAGTATCATTGACTTTGGGTAAACCCGACGAGTTATGAGCATTAATTTAAGAATATTTAAATTCATAGTAACACTTATATTTTACATGAAATAATAATAATAATAAAATATCAAAGTACATATATTAAAGCTAAGCCATTAGAATATTTTACTTTGAATTTTATTTACTTTAAACAGAGTATTAGACAATATTATGAATCATATAAAAATATTATATGTGTACAAATTTTGGAAAGAATGATAAGATAACTATGTAATATCAATTTTGGAAAGAATGATAAGATAACTATGTAATATCGTACCATTAAAAACTTGTTTTATAATATAAGTTTATACACTAAATTAAAATGAGTAATAAGAAAAAATTTAGAGAATAACCGGCCTTATTATTATCACATTATTTTCAAATTAAAGTACATGGGTTTCTAGCTCGATCTCATTCGAGCTCAGTCAGATTCGACCCATTTTTAGCCGGTTATTTCAGGTTCGATTATCTACGGGTTTAGTCATTAAAATATTTAATCAAAACCCAATATATCTTCAGTCAGATCTCGAGTAAATAATAGGTCGGATTAATTTTTATCAAGTCTACATAGTACCACCCCTTATAAATAGACAGTTTTCAATTAGAGAGGGGATTCGGAATTTATTTAATACACAATATATTAATATGATACACAGTATACTTCAAAAAAAAAATATGATACACAGTATATTGTCTTAGGGGCTGTTTGTTTCAGTCTCTTAATGGTTTAGATATCTGAATGGTTCAGCACTTAATGGTTCAGACTGTTTATTTCAGCCTCTTAATTGTTTAGATGTTTGAATGGTTAAAAGATTTGCCTCTGAATGGTTAAGTATTATACAGAGTCTGAATG